TTATGTATCATGGACCAAGAAAGACCCCGTTAAATTCTGGATAAAGGGGAATAACTTGGAATTATATATCACCTGCTTCAACATTGCAAGATATTTTCTTTTATATATTGTCACCAATTTCCCAGGGAATAATTAATGGATCTACATGTTATTTCCCCCTCGTTAATAATTTTCTTCTGTGGAACTTTTTCCTTACTTCTGTTGAAGATTAAGTCGCACCTTGTTTATCCCCATGAAACTAATTGTGATATGTGGATATGAGCTCTACAAGTAGAATGTGATTGATTGATTAATTGATCTTGATGAAACAATCAGGAATATTGAGTGTTCTTTTGAGTGTGTAAGTAAGTGCAGATGCAAATAACAAATCTGAATCCAACACATTTAAATGTGGTTTCATTAAGGGACTTGGTGGAGGATGCATTCTCCTGAGTGCCATTCTAGTCCCCTGGTAAATTCTAGAAAAATGCAATACAATGCCTAGTCTTGAAATGTTAGAGAAGGCAATCTTAAAAATTCCTAGATCCAACCCTTTGTCCAGATGTGTGAAATCCAGCTGTCAAACAAACAAATGAACCAACCACCAAACAGATGGATAGAGGTGCAGAGGCAAATATGAGTAAACAATTCAAAATCTATTTACATTAGATATGCAGTGCAGGGAATATCCTTTATAACACTGCTGCAATATGTACTTCTAAATGTTTTATTATCACTGTGAGTTTTATGTTGTTATTGACATAAAGTGTATTTATACGTAGAATTATGATTCATTTATTTCTGCCATTCAAACTGTGCATCTGTGCAGCACTTTCTCTGTCAAACAGCCATCACACACTGCCACCACAGCCGTCTGAGGCAATCTGGGGTTCAGTGTCTTGCCTAAAGAGACTCCGGCATGGAACGGGGGGACTGGGATTGAATGCTGACCTTCTGGTTAGAGGACAACCTGCTCTACCCCCCGAGTCTTGACTGGTCCTGTTCTATGAATTGAGTGATTATCAACAAATGAAGAAATGTTGGGTGAACAGTAGTCTTTCTGCATCATACATTTTTTAGCTCAGTTTTTGTGCAATATTGATGTTTTTTTGCCCCTTGATGATCACTGAGATGAGGTTCAGGCTTTTCCTCCTGTTAAATTTAAGACATCATTGTGTAAAATATGGGATTAATAATAAAATCCATGGACAAACAGTCCTGGCTGCATCACATCGTCTCATCAACTGATGAACGCTGTGAAGTGAAGCTGTTAACGTCGACTTCACAACCAAATAAAAGAACAAAGGCCTCAGATCGTCTCCGCTCCGTGTTTTGACTAATGTCAGTAATTGTCTTTGCTGATAACGAGTTCGTTTTAGGTTTGCTGTTGCCTCTCAGGGCTCCCTTTGATTCGCTGTCAGCCCATTAGATGACATTCTCCTCTGATTGTCTCTGCGTGCAGTGTGTTTACTGACGGAAAGTTAGCGTGGTGCGAGACAACTTCAACAGCTTCATTTCTGTGTTGCTTTGATGTGCCACACACTCACCGTGAGGCGGGCGAGTCAACATGTTTTTCAATGCAGCACTTTTGACAGTACTTAGTCAACAGCCCCTCCGAAAAAGAGCTGGTCTCTGTTCATCTTCTCATCAACATGTAACAACGATGCTGTCGCCAGCGCCTTCACACTCTTCAAAACATCGTCTGTGGGAAAATACGATTTTTTACAAACCAAGATAAACAGTAAAAATGGAACTGATTGTAATTATTACTTATTAATGTTGCATTTTGTCTTTGAATGTTGAAATAATAATAATTTAAAAAAAGATTCATTCCCTTGAGCTGAACCACATGAAAACCAGAGCGAAGGTCTAGAATCAAAGCGGTGACCAAGTGAGTAGAGACAAACAACTCAACAGTAAAGGGGGCTGTGGTGTCAGAAGAAATCAGAAAAAAAGCTTTTCTAATGTACGAGAGAGTTTAAGGACTCAAAATATTGATCTTCATAGAGCACATACCTCTGCCAAGGCTCAACTGTCCCCTTAGATTCAACCAGGCTGCACCAAAATTCACACACTCACACATATCAGTCACCTGAATACACCATCATCATGCATGAGTCCCCAGGGAAAAAAGCCTTATCTCACCATGTGATCAAAACACAATGTGTTGCTGCCTGGCCCATGCCATACACATACAAACCATATTAGACTGATCATATTTGCACAATCCTGGACAGGAGGGAAAACAGAGGTAACATCAGACCTCACTTAGCAGCAAATCTGGGTTTTGTTCGAGTCTGCAAAACGTCATTACACTAATTTACCACACGGAGACAAAGATGAGGCCACAGGGCTCTTTTAGAAATCAGGCCATGGACTTCTATATGTGAACCACCAACCACCATTAATATTTGTTCATCAGTAGTAAATTGAACTTCTCTTTCAAAGAAAAGTTAAAAAAAATCTAATTAAATCTAATTGTATTTGTATATCCCATATTCACAAATCACACTTTGCCCCATAAGGCTAAACAATCTGTACAAGGTGCGACGAAAAAAATCCCTTAAACAGGGTAAAAAAAAACATGGGACAGAATTGCACTAGATGTGTAACAGAAAACACAACGTTTGACCTACAAGCAGAGGTGCATCAGTGTTTAAAGTATTTATACAAAGTCATAACACAATGTGTTTATCAATGATTCTGTTCATTTGTGTTTTATGAATTGTTGCTTTGAAATTTTGCCCATAAAGACATGTTGATTTTTATGTGTGTGTGTGTGTGTGTGTGTGTGTGTGTGTGTGTGTGTGTGTGTGTGTGTGGTTGAGCAGTATTGAGCTGACACACTTGTGAGGTATGTGTCTCCATTGTGTTATGTGACTAAAAGCAGACCAGAGGAGGCTAAAGTCACACAGCCCGGCTTCAGCTGTGTCTCTGCTGCTGTGATCAGCATGTTCACAGTGACCACTCAGATCAGCTGGGAACGGGGAGTGTTACCCACCAAACAACAACAAAACACACACACACACACACACACACACACTTCCAGCTCACTGTCTCCTGAGTGGTGACTCAGGCCGGCATGTTGGGTGTTGCTGGAGTTTTCCTGACGTGTTGGTGTGGACGGAAGCAGGAAGATGAAGAGGGTGACTGATTGATGAAAGTGGAACAGAGCGACGCGGCAGTCATGAGTGTCAGACATGTTACCTGGAGATAATTTACCTGCGGACGAGAGGGGAGACCAGAGCAACCCGACTAAAGGTAATTATACACACGCTGCTGCTCTGATCACGTATCTTTAACTGCAACCAGTGAAGCTGCTACTTCCCTGAGAAACTTGGTTGCTAGAAAATTAGAAGAGGGCATAGTAGAAGGCATCATGGGATATTGAAACTACCTCCTGAGACACTTCATTGTATTATATGAGAGTTAGAAAACAGAAGATCATATTGGATCATTTCATTTTATCTGAACAATCAATTAACAAAATAGCAAAAGTTTGAAATAATCCTGGTTTCATGCCTTTTTTGTTTATATGTGCTCTCTTAGTTTTTCAGCTCACATGCATGTTTTCCCCCCATTGTGTCTCAAGGTGGAACGTCTTTGAAATCACAACAGGAAATCCTTTCAGCTCGGGACCCTGTTAGCCGAGGAAATACCATCCACACTGACCTCATCAGCAGTAAGTGGAAACCCTGAGATCTGCACAGCAAACAGTAAAGTGGATTTATATATTGCTGTTATTATTTTCCTCTCTTTGTTTTGTAGCTTTATATTTGGATTTAAACACTGCATGTGGATGCATTGCTAAAGGTTTTATGTTTGTGTCGTGGATACAAGATTACAAACGTTTCTACATAATTTGTATTGTTGTGTGTGTGTGAGATCGAGATGGGCTCTGGCTTTGGCTTGTGTCTGTTCTTGTATTATTTAAGAATGTTAGTACAAATAGTATTCAGTGACGTAAATTATATGTTAAGGCTCCTAACGATTAATGGATCTGAAAAACAAATTGATTTTATTTGAGTGAAATAAGTCAGTAAGAAGGAGAGCAAACTATTGTGAGATTTACTTGAGGGTAAATAATAATTCTATCATGTGCTAAATCACAGTTTCATAAAATGATTTAATAATGTGGGACCTACAAGATTTCTCTTTATCTTGTAGTTCATTGATGTAAATTACAAATCAAATTTCTATTAATCCAATCAAAATAAATAAGCGGATACATATTAAGCATTCAAAAAAAATGCAGACAAAAACATAAGCTCCTTGGCGAAGGAACATTTTCCCACATACTTCAGAACATGAAACAGTCCTTGTTACAAAACAACGATTTTGCCCTCACTGATTTTGAGTTGGAGTAGTTTTATCACTAAGGCGCCTCCACACTGTTCCTGCCAGCCCAGCCTCGGCCTGCCTCACCAGAAGCAGCAGGGCCGAGGAGGCCTCAGTGTGACCCCAAGAAGCCCACCTGCCCACGATGTGGCCTCACAGTGCCAGACCACAGACTCCTGTCTGTTCCCCGGGACCAAAGCACCCTGCAGGGCTCCCGTCTGTCCGTGCAAAGCAGCTGCAGCAGCAGCAGGAGGAACAGGAGCAGGGTGGTCAGTTCACACCAACCTGCAGCCACAACAAGTGGTAGGAACAACAACACGACTAACTTACACAGACTGACTGTAAATAACTTGGTCGTTTCTTTCTTTAAAAGATAAAAAGGTAAAAAAAAGAAGGATTTAACAGCTGAGGTACAATTGATCAGTTACTTGGTAAAGTTAGCAAAAAAAAAACATGTGTAATCGAACCGTGGTGGATGCAGGGAGGGGGTCAGGGGGCACTGGCCCCGGATTAAATCTGACGTTCTCTCAATTATCTTTTTTTCCATTTACTAACAATAATAGCAATAGTTAAGTACGACAATTTGTTCTAATTTCCTGAAGCTTTTCTGAAGAACAAAATGATCAAGGAACAATATTCAAAATATATTCAAAGACGTGTGACTTTGCTTAAAGCTATAGAGCTACCAGTAAACAAGGAACGTGCCCCCTCCTGATTCAGGTATATGGATGTTGGACATGTAATTGGTCAACTGTGGCCCCTTAAAGCCAGCTGATTCAGACAAATCCAAGATCAACCACTGCAATCAAAAGAAGTTCCTGTTACCACCAAAGAGAATCTGTCTGTGTGTACAAGCGGAGCCATAAAAAAGTTTCCATTGGAGACTTTCAAACTGCTGCACTTTCTTCCAGTTTTACCAAAGCGCGTGGCGAACCACTCTTTGTTTATCATTGTGTTCATGTTGTGATCTCTATGAAGTGATGCATTAAATCAATACAGCAGCCACACATAATGCATCCTTTTTTCATCTACACGCAGACATTAGCATAAGTTGTGTGCGGGGGGTGCATAATTCGAGCGGCTAAGCAGAAAAACGCCGGACCCCACTCCCCAGGGAATTCCGCCATCTCCGTTTCATTTGCTTCCTTGAGTAAACAGGATAAAACAGCTCGATTTGCATGAGCTCACTGACGATGTGCTCTGTGAGGATGAAAACGCGAGCTGAGCAACGGTTTGGATCGCGAGAGACGCACAATAACACACCGGCGGGGTTAATGTATGCAATTTCATGGGCACCTAATTTGGGTAGTGGAGCAATTATCTTGTGACAGCTTCTTCGCAGTCGTTGCTCATCAGCAGCAGCCTCTGTGGCCCTTTTTATTTTCCCTGGGGGACGGAACAAACCTCTGTGATTAAGTAAACACAATCACACTTGATCACTGCAGCACAGTGCTTTCTCTTTTAACTTCTGCTTTGCACAACATGCAAACATGCGAAGGATTAATTTCGGGTTAATAGAGTTGTTAATGTCTGACAGGCTTTCAGAACAAACGGCAGCTTTTTTTTGTCGTGACCTCAACGATTTGCAGCTAAATCACTTTCCTGTCTCGTCCTCGACGCCCAGACTCGTGCTTTCACCTGCTGCTGGCGTGCCTGTCGTGCCAGTGCTCCGTGCTGCTCCTGGGCCTGTTGGAGGCCTGCTCCTCCTGCCTCCACGCCCTCTGCTCGTCATGCTGCCACGCCTGCGCCCGCTGCTGTTCGGCCATCCAGGAGGCGCCCGTGGAGGAGCTCAACTGCCACGCCCACTGCCACTCGGTGATGTTCGAGTCCTGCTGTGAGCAGACGGAGTGTCTCGAGTTTTGCCTCGAGTGCTGCGAGATCTGCCATCACAGCTAGGGGGCAGCTGCACCCCCCACCCCCTCGACTTGAGGACTATCATTTTTAAGGTACTTGTGGAAATCAATGAGACGTCATCATCATCATCGCTTGTGATGATTCTCAAGTTGTGAACTGAACAAACAGCCATTCTCTGGGATCGAGAATGTTTCTACTAATACTTTTTTTTATTTTTACACCATTTGCTGCTAAATAATTTTTTACAACTTATTTCAATCCATGTGATTAAGGAGAAATTTGACTTTAAAGGTCCAGTGTGTAAGATTTAATGGAGAATAATCCTCATGATGTTTTCACGAGTTCGTTTCATCTAAATTGTATAAATTGTAGTTTTCATTACCCCAGAAAAGGTCCTTTACATTAAATACTTTATATTTACATTGAGGGGACCCTCTCTATGGAGGCCACCACGTTTTTACATTAGCCCAGACTGGACAAACTAAACACCTTTTGAGTTTTTATGACAACTGAAGCTACCACAGGTTCTTTTTCATGTTTGGAAGGAGAGGGTGAGGTGAGGGGTGTTCAGCTCTAACATGCAACTTCAACACTAGATATCACAAAATTCCACACACTGAACCTTTAAGTCCTCAGCTTCATCTTCAGTGAAGGGAATGTTCCTAATGTGACAACATTTTTATCTTATTTGATGAAAACCTCTTTTCACCAGAGACATACACAACTTAGAAAAAAAGACATTGGGCAATAGCAAAAGCACTTTTCCCATCTGAGTGCCCCGGGTGGTTGTAAAATGAGGTGTGGTCACAATGCTACCTTGAGGAACACAATTGTGCTTTTAATGAATAAAACTGTGTAAAGTCTTATTTATTCTAAAGTAACATTATTAAGTTAGTAATATGGCTCAATATAGGCAACACAACCACACTCTGGTTGTTACACATAGATAATGAGCTCACGAGTAAAGTGAATCTGTTTCCTCTGCAGAGACGTGTTCTCTCTTACAACCAAAACAATCCTTAGAATAAAAACCCTTACAACCCTTAGAATACTTATCTGGGAAGGATGTGAGATGCATGGCATTTGATTTATTTGTTACTTATTATGCCTGAAACACAACTATGATTAATTAAGAGACTTGAGGCAACCACTTGGAACCTGTAGTCAATAATGGCTGATTAGGCTGCTGATGTTTTTTTTTGTCAGTGCTACTTACCAAGAGAAGGAAGAAATGCATTACCTAACTACAGACATGATTATTTGGAAAACAAATTCAAGAACCTTTTGAAATATTTAATCCATTTACCAGGGTCATTTCTTCTGGTGGTTGAATACCTATGGATTGACAGGGTGAATAAAACTCAGTGTGGGACTTTATCAGACTCCAGTGTTGTTGTTAGTTACGTTGCATTTCTTTAATAAAAAAAATGTATGAGTAGCATAAAAAAGACCCACAAGCATGAAGAATTTACAGGTTTTAAAGCTTCAGGCCTTATTCCACAGAAACGCAGTTTGTTGTTCGTTGTTACATTAAATGACTTTGACCCCGACCCAGACGGCTCAGCCTCTTTGCTGCTATTTGTTTGGGATCTTATGTCGTAAGATTGCAGGTTTGACTTCTCCCCGCTCGGCTCTTTGCAGCTGAGGAACAGGCCGACAAAAAACTTGTCAGCTCTCTCTTGAATCCCTTTTCATAATTTGTCATATAAAGCACTTAGAACATAAAAGCGTGCGCACTCTCTCCAGATCTCAGAAGATTGAAGCGAGCTCCTTTGAAGTCGTCGTGTGAGGCGACAGCAGAGAGGCAGAGTAAACAGCCAAAAATAAAACAAAGCGTCGATAAAGACAACGCTGTCAATCTGTCCGGACGAGCCAAGAGGCTCATTTAAATCACGTTAGAGCGAGTAAATCGAATTTAAGTGTCTCTTTTGCCCACAACACATTTGGATTCTGCTCGTGACAAGAAACAGCGCTGATGTCTGATTTAGAGCGTGGCGAGCACACACCAACAAATAATAAACAGCCAGGTTTGTTCCACTTGTCCCCCTCAATTTGTTCTCCCCTCTACCCACACCTGATGTCTACCTGCACACATCATACACAGACAGAACACACACTCCTACATATGTTTCAGCCACACAGTCACACGCTGTTTGAGGCTGGGTGAAGTTATCGCCTTTAAGTTTAGATAAAAAATGTCCAGATTATATTGACAGAAAAAGGAAAAATAAACTATGTATTCGTTTTTTCTGTCAGTGATTAAACAACCAGAAAATGAATTGATAATAACAATATAAAAAGTTATTTAATGAGAAAAAATGATTGGACTGATGATTGACTGGGTTGATTGGACAAAACGAGCAACATGAAATCTTCTTTAGAAAATTCTAAAGATAACTTTTCCTTGTTTTTATATGCAAAATAATGAGTTGATAAATCAATAAAATAATTGTTACAATAAATCATAATCATATGTATATGATCAAATAAATAATAATTCATAATAACACATATATATATATATATATATATATATATATATATATAAAGCGGTATTGACAAATTAAATAACTTTAAAAGTTATTTAATTAGTTACCTCTGCTAAAGAGGTTGTCTTCGTCAGGCAGATGGATGGATTATCATGAAACTTGGTGGAAGGATGCAGAATAGCGAATAGAGTAGAATAGAGAAGAATCCATTAAATCTTGGTGCTGATTCAGGATTATAATTTATTTATTTTTTAATTTTCTTAAAAATTCGAGCGTTTTTCAACATTTTCATTCATTTTTCAGGAAATAATTAATGATGACCAAAACCAGGCACTTTTAGGGAACTAATATCAAACAGTGTGAAAATCTGCTGCAGCTTGATGTAGGGAGGTTACTGAGGTCACTGAGTGACATTCTAGTGTTGTCTTTTGACTCAGAGGGTTCAAGTTTGACTTGAAACCAACAACATAATATGAGTGAAGACTTTCTCCATCAAAGCCGGATTTTCTTTTAAATGCTATCAAACTAGAAGGGCTCTCAGAAAGAACATGTTCGTTAGTTGGTCCCCTGTTCAACCTTTTATAGAAAATGGTCTAGACCTGCTCTAAATGAAAACTGCACTGAGAAAACTAAGATAAGTAGATCAGCTATGATTTGGCACAATATAGATGAAACTGATGGAGTACAGGTTTAAAAAAAGACAAATTAATGAAGTTCACTGTATATGAATAAAAAAAGGAATAACTATTTGTGTTTAAGGTCAAAGTTTCAGGTTTATTGATATGGTTTCACAAATGTTTGACTTTGTTATTTGGTGTCACGCTTTCATTTGGGTGTAAAGTGCATTTACACATGTAGCATTGTATAAGATTTATAAATAAAATTCAGAGGACGGAGCCTTGAGGTTGAGAACTGACACCTTGTTTTTGTGAACAGTTGTTGGACTGGCACTCTGAGATAACAAGGCTGGGCATTACAGACGCAGGACGACCCAGCGAGGAGTTGGTTTCAAACCTGAGCTGCTTTTCAAAAACAACCCTTTCAACACTTTTTTTCAGAATCTGTCTATTTGTATTCTCGCCTTCCTCCAAAGCTTCATGACAATGGTTGTAACCTCCTCAATCAAAACAAGTGTATGTGTAGCGTGTGAAGAGGCATCTATTGGAAAAAAGGGGAAATAATAACACCTAATAGTCAGTCTGTCAGATGTGCCCATCTGCTGTAAAGGAAACAAAAATAAATGTAACCAGATTTGAATATCTAACATTTGAGGCTGACGCCGAGAGGACGGATCAAAGGAAGAAAGACATAGCGGAGGGGGGGCAAATCATAAACACATTGTCTCATTTTAATAAGTGAGGGGAATGGTTTCTAAACCAGCGCATACAATCAAGTTTTATGTGTTTGAGAGTGTGAGAGGAGGAGGAGGAGGAGGAAGAGGGCGTGTGTGTGTGCGTGTGCGTGCGTGTGTGTGTGTGTGTGTGTGTGTGTGTGTGTGTGTGTGTGTGTGTGTAAAGTACATCAAAACATAGCTAATGAGGGTTGGGTTAAAAATGGGTGTGCATGAAATATTGATGTTCAAGCTGCATTTTTATCTTGAATCTACGACACCTGGAAACTAGAGACGTTCTGCACAACAGAATTTGGAGCAATTCAAGCCTGGCAGAGTTCAGGACTAAATATACTATGCATAGTTATACACTGAATTTAATAGTAAAATACACAAGTGTCAATTTTTGCTTGCTTATACTATTCAGTGTGTTTGTTAACACTCAGTCTGAAACTAAGTATCCATTAAAAACAAGTGTAAATGCCTTTATAAAAGCAGATTGGAAAAAAAGAGAGAAGTGTGAATGTACTTGATATATGAGTATATGTAGTGTTGGTATAATAACACAATCAATAAATCTGCACGTTAGAGAGTTTGTTCCATATGTAGTGTTTGTGTCACTTTGTCTCAGCAAGTGCATGCCCCAATTAATCTGTTGATATCTGGACAAATCCATTTTTTATTGTGCTTTGTTTGTTTTCACCTCTGTCCATATGTTTGTTTGGTAGTTAGCACAGATTTACCACAAAACGTAGTGGAAGGATGTGGGCTTAGGGAAGAACCCATTAAATTGTATTTTTATTTTCCCAGGTCATTCATTATTCATGAATCTTTTAGAGAAATAAATCAGGCACATTAAGGAAACTAATATCTGTGTGTATATTTGGTGCAGCTTGGTTCTGAATCTAAGGGGACTGTTGGGCCCTGGTGCAGGTATGAGCTCTACTGAGTGTCATTCTAGTTTTATGACGTGAAATCAAACTGCATCAGTCACATTTCCAGCAACATTTCACACAACCAAACAACTGAAGTCCTCTTGGTTTCATCTGCACCACTATCGTTGATCTGACATATTTTGCTTTTGGTAGTTACGTGACATCTTGTGATGCTACAGTGACCTGCAGTTGATAGTTAACTGATTGTGATGGGACAAAGACCCGGCAAACAAATTCGAATGTTAGCATGAGTGGAGTTATGTGCCTCTAGTTTAGTGATGGATTGACCAAACCTGATGCAGCCCAGGTGATTTTCTTCCATTCAATCTCCAAACATCAATGTCTCACTCCAGTTCAGGGTTTTTTCTGTTTTATTTATAACGTTAGAATCTTCTGTAATGTACAGGCGTCATAAATGTTTATCAATATATGTAGTCTTACAATATTCATGGATGAAAATGAGTGCATTTCACTTTTGATAGCCCTGAAAACAGACCAAGCAAAAGCTGAAATGACAAGTGAACAATGCAGTCACCCTGTTTGAATAACTGGAGAGTGTTCCAGCTCGTCTGATTCAAGTATATCATGGTTAAAAAAAAAAAAGAATAAATAAAAGAATCATAAACACCATGCGCCTATGAGTCTAATAATGTAACACCAAGACCAATATTGCACCATTTGATGGCACGTACCAAATGTAATATCTTGGTAAAAATAAATTCATGATGCATACATCAAATACTTATAAATTCAAATTTAGAAACACCAAATATTCACAAACAAAAATCCAAACCGTTACTCTGTATATACACAGTATCTTCTCTGCTAACAAAACAGCTACAGATGAATCAGAATTAGTCAGAAGGAACAAATACTTTCAAGGTTCTCTCTAATTGTACCCATCAATAATGCAACACACATATATTTCATATATATGTATATGACTCATGCCCTTTGTTCCTGAGTGGTTTAGTGCAATGTGCATTATGTTTGATTTCTTTCACAAAAGAGGATACAAGGATGGATTCTAATAGTTACGCAACGAGGTTGTGGCCTTGGCCTTAAAGATGCTGCTTTAATGGCTGAATTAGGAAAACTGAGTTCGAGTTGGTTTAGCAGCTGTGATGTGTGTGTTCAGATCATGTTGTTCTTCTTCAGTACCTCCAAGTACTGCTGTGTCGCCCTGCTGAAGGGGTCCAGCTCCACCCTTGAGACGGAGCCCACCGGGGACAACCGCGCAGACCCGACGTCCAGCTCTGCTGTCGCTGAGGACGAGAGAGAGGTGACGCCATGAGGCAGCAGCAACATGTGACATCTCTGATAGCATTTATTCCACAAGACTTTTTTTTTGTGCCGTGATTCCAGCTGCAGTGAACTCACCGTTGTTTAATTCCTTCGAGATGTTTCTGTCCAACTCACTCTGCATCTGGAAAAAAAAGAAAGTTGGAGTTTGAAATGAAAAGTGAGAAAAAAAACATGCTTTAAAAATAAATATTTACACGAATCCAAAAAGATGCAGGGATGATTTTTCATCACCAAACACAACACGGTGGTAAATGGAAACATTACTGCAGGAAAATCAGGACTATTATGTGCAACACAGCGGGACACGTCAAGCATGCAGGCTCTGCTTCACTGTGGGATTATTACTGCAGGTTATTTCATGCTGCCGTTAAATCTCACTGCAGGTACAGTCAGCGGTCAACTCAAGTTATCTGCCTCCACTAATTATACAAATGTATCTACGAGATATATTCACACTGGAGATGAATGCTTTCAGGTGAATATAAGAATCTCACATTAAAAAAACATTTTTCTGCGTGTAAAGAACACATCAAAATGGGTAAAGTTCCTGTTGATATTAACTTCTTCACTTATGCATAATTCATGTGTTTTCCATATTAATTTTTTAATTTATTCTCTTCACATTTCCTTTGTCAAAGGTCAATGCCTGGGTAATAATACATTTGAAGGATGTGTGTAAAAAAACGTGTTGTGTCTCTCCAACATTTGTTAGATGACAAATAACCGATTATTATTATCCTGGCTAGTTATTCATTTGATCTCAGCAGGTTTGTTTCTTCTGAAAAATCCCATGCTTGTAAGGAGATGATTGAAGGAGACATATTAAGCTTTTTAAGTTTCTTTCCTTGAGTGTGTTATATCATTTTTTTTGTGAATGTAAAAGTTCTGTAAAGTAAAAAAGATCAACATCTGAGGTAAAGTGAGCTCCTGTCCTCCACAGAAAACACTGTGCCTGAAGCTCCTGGTCAATACAGGCCAAAACCTAGTGTTTCAGACAGAGGCTGAAAAGAGGAGCTGCATGAATGGATACTATAAGGGAAGCGTTTTCCAAACATTAAAGCATGTAGCATTTCAAGTAAATTATGAAACTAAATGAGCATAATAAGTCTCCTTCTCATGGATGTGATTTGATTTTCAAATCAAATACCAACAGTAATGTGAGGTGTACTTAATAACTTAACCCAACTGGCTGGGTTTGAACTTCACTGCTAAAATCAGCTTTAGAGGAGACAGAATGAAGCAGATGGAGCTCTATTCTACAGGTCAACATCAGAGCATAAAGAACATCAACTGAAAGACTTCAAGGTACAGTGTGTAGAATTGTGTGATATCTAGTGTTGAAGTTACATGTTGCAGCTGAACACCCCTCACCTCACCCTCTCCTTCCAAACATGAAAAAGAACCTGTGGAAGCCTTTAATTGTCATAAAAACTCAAAAGGTGTTAAGTTTGTCCAGTCTGGACTAATGTAAAAAACATGGCGGCCTCCCTAGAGAGGACCCCCTGGATGTAAATATAAAGTATTTAAATATAAAGGGCCTTTTCTGGGGTAAAGAAAACTACAATTCATACATTTTAGATGAAATGAACTAGTGAAAACATCATGGGGATTATTCTCCATTACATTTCTGCCAATAGTTCCTTTTCACCTAAATCTTACACACTGGACCTTTAAGGAGTGTCTGTACAACAGAGCATTGGGACCATATGAAGAAATAATGAGAATAATGTCATATTCTTAGGATTTATATGTAACTGAGAAGAAAGCTGCAATTTCAACAAAATAAAGTTGTAATTTAAAGGGAAAAAATCAAGTCATGTCAATGATGTTACTGACCACAAAAAGCTCAATCCAACATTCCTGCATATTTCAGTGGTAAAACGGTTGTTGTTGACTTCTTACATTTTCTAATTATAGATTTTGCAAATTTGACTTATTTTTGTAATTTGACAATTAAATATTTAGGAGATGACATCTTTATGTCAGCTTTTGACAATTTGCAACTTTAGATCTGCAATGAAGTGCACTGTGTGATAAAAATCAAATGATGATTGTAACGTCAACACATTTCACTTTCAGAAAACTCTTTTGATAACATTGTAACAGTTGTTGAATGACACGTCATCGTTTGAAAAATATGAAAAATAAAGACATGCATCGAATTGCAGCAGTGGAAAAGATCTCAGCCCCAAAATACAGAGCTTGTTTAACATCTTTTTTTGTCACTGTGTAAATCCTGTATGTGATTGTTGACACATACATGGCAAATAAAGCTGATTCTGATTAAATGGGAGCAGAGGTTTAAATGTGAGGCCACCAGCACAGTGAAGGCAACAGCAGCCGGTCAGACACTGAGCTCAACACATCTACACACCTGGTTATGAGTCTGGCTGAAGAGAGGAGAGATGAGAGACAGACTTTTGAGCTAGAAGCTAGAAGAGTGAGAAATAGAAGACAGGTTAGAAGTGGAGTCCCACTACATGAAGACCTGAGAGTGAAGAAGAGACAATGTGTCGGAGGAAGAAAAATAGTCAGGAATTAGAAATCATTTGAGTTTTGAAGGTGTTTTTCGTAGAGGGAAGATGGGCGTTAAGAGAATTTAGAAAGCCACCTCATCAATTCCATACCTATCGTCTGTTTTCTCACGATGAGAAAGATTTGATGTGTAATGTCTCGCAGAATCAAATTTCTCTGCGGTGATAAAAACATAACAACACACTAACTGGTCTATAAAAAGCAACATCTTTGAATAACACATCACCGGTTACACAATAACAACACTGACACCCATGATGCTGTGGAAATGAGAATGGCCCAAAATAACAGAATGAAGTATATACTTCAGTGAGTGAGTGAGTGAGTGAGCCGGGTTCATGACTGTACAGACCTTGGCCAGATAGTCCTCCACCCTGCTGTTCTGTGCATCAGCCACAGGGCTGAGGAGGGAGAGGCCCAGGCCAAGGCTTCTGTTCAGGGTCCCCAGTGTGGCCCCGTAGTTTGCTGGTGAACCCAAAGCGCCCACGTCCAGCGAGGGACTTCCAAGGCTTCCGTTTGCAATGCTGCTGGCGAAAAGAGACCGGCTGCGCTCGTTCAGCAGCTTGGAATTGGCTTCTGTGAGCCGACTGTTGGCCCTGCAGATAAAAACACAGCAAAGGTTCATTGTTGACATAATACAGGTGTGGTGCCTTTGTCTAATTCGCAGACTCATTCAATATTTTAGGAATGAAAAAAAAATGAGGTTTTAAATACTTTGCAGAAACCTGCAGCCGGACCTTATTGTCACTGTGGTGAGAACAAGCTGGTCTCACCTCTCTAGTTTGGCAGCCAGGGACTTGCTGAGGCGCAGCTCCTCGGCGTAGAGCTGGCGGTAACGCTCTAGCTCGGTGCGAGTTGAATCTCTTTGGTTAAGGCTGTCCTGCTGGGTGTTGCGGGCGCGGCCCAGTTCCCCCTCCAGCTCCCGGATCTTCTGCTCCAGCTGAGAGCGCAGGTTGACCTCATTGGTTGCTTTAATCTGATCTAATGCTTCTTGGGATGCTGCCTGGGTCTGGGAGATAAAAAGACACAATCAAATTCAATCCGTTATACGATCATACAGTAGCAACATTGGACATCCTGTATATGCACAACAAATAAGTTATTCAGTAAATCATCTCGTCTCTTATAAACTTTGTCATCATATTCTTTTTCTTTTGTTTACACTATTTGTCATTAACATTTAATTCTATTAAAAGATTTGCTCAGTATAGTGAGTTAACTTGTTAAATTAGGATCGCGTTAGCACCAAATTTTCCTGGTTAGAATTGTTACCTGCAGGAAGAGGTTGACCTGCTCCAGTTTCTGCTGTATCTCTTGACGGGCCCTCTCCTCTGTGTCACGGCGATACTGCTCCACCTGGCTCTGCTCCATGTGAGCTGTTTCCATTCTGCGTCTCAGGTCCAATACCTCCTCTTCGAGCTGCCTCTTGCTCCTCTCCAGCTGGTCGGTACTGTGGCTGAAGCTCTTCAGGGAGGCCAGCTGGTCCTTGAGCTCCCCGTTCACCTTCTCCAGTTGGCTGCGACGAGTTGCTTCCTTCTCCAGCTGCACCTGCAGATCGTCCACCTACGAGAGGAAACGTTTGAGGTTAAAGGTTGAATTATTTGGGGGGTTTCATACTGAAATCACAGTTTCAGGCAGTCGAACCTTATCTTTCACTCGTCCGAAGCCACCCTCCGCCTGGCTGTGTCTGCCCAGCTCCATCCTTACACTGCTCATAGGAGAACCAAACTCTGCTCCACCTGTGTCCTGGTCCCGCAGTTTCTTCTTAGCAGTCTTCAATAGTGTACGAAGCCTTAAACACAAGTGCACAAATACTGTAAGTAATCAACAACATTGGGTTTGCAAAGAATACGACAAAATAAATCAGCCACAATTAAGTGAACACAAAAAAACCTAGACAAACACTATAAATCAGGGGTCGGCAACCCACGGCTCTGGAGCCGCATGCGGCTATTTTTTCTACGAACGGTAAATTTAACGAATCAGTTTTCATGATGAATGTGAGTGAACATTTTTTAAATCATCATCGTATCAGGCCATCATGAAATACCAGGAGCAGGCGAATGTGTGTGTGTGTGTGTGTGTGTGTGTGTGCGTGTGTGCTCCCAGACAGCGTGCGCACACGCAGACCCCTGGGCTCCGCCCCCCCCGCTCACTCACTCAGAGAGACACACACAGTCCGATCAGAGCTTGTTTACGTGAAGCAGCCGGTAAGTCACTTGCATTAATGCAACAAACTATAGTTTTTATATATGTATAGTATAGCTATATATAAAACTTTATAAGTTGTGTTATCAAATATGTTTTGCAGCTCCAGACAAATTTTATTTGGGGGAAGAGGGGGCAAAATGGCTCTTTTAATAGTAAAGGTTGCCTACCCCTGCCATATATGAATAGTAATGTAGTTTAAAAGAAAAACTAAAAAATATTCCCTTACACCAGATACAGACATTGGGGCACCACAGCCACATAAGCCAGGAAAGACTGCACTCTACTGGATCCTAATTCATGTCTACATGGAAGGAGAAGGCGCTGCCATGGGTGAGGAGAGCCAGAGGAGGAGGAGGGTAGGAGTCACCTGTACATTTCTTTTTGAAGCTCTGTGTTTCTCTTCATCTCTTGATCCAGACGAGTGTCAACGGCCTTCTTCTGCTCTGTTATCTTTTTGGCTTTCTTCTTCTCTATTTCCATCTGGAACAACAAGATGTAGTTTCAGGGGGATGGTTATATGATGTATAATACTTATACTACAACTACAGACAACAACTATGAACACAATGAAACAATGAAGCAGTACCAGATTTCACTGACTCACAGATATCAGTCACCTTAATGTGTTTTTTTTATGATCAAGATCCATGAACTATGCCATGTTATTATCACCTGAGTGTTCAGTTCTCCTTTTTCCTTTTCGAGCTCTGCCAGGCGCAGTCCTAGCTTAGAACGACTCTTCAGCTCCTCCTCCCACAAAGCCTGAGAGTCCTGGGCTGTGTGAGACAGAACACTTTGCTTCTGGACCTAACAAAGAGCAAGACAAGAGGTTTAATTATTATAAAGACAGTTGTGAATATCCATAGAAAAAATAAGAAGCTCCAGTCAGCTTGTTACTGTGATCAAATTTCAGATTGATCAGTTAGCCAAACATCTAACTCCTCTTTCAGTGGGGAAAAAAAATATGTTACCAACCTCTCTATTGAGTTGGTCTTCCAAAGTCATCTTACTGCTTTGGAGGTTTGTTACCAAATCCTCCAAATGACCTCTGACCTACAAACATATAGAAAATCATTGTACAAATAATAAAAGATGGTGGGTTTTTTGTTTGTCATTTAAGAAATATAAGAGAACATTTTTTAAATGTAAGGAAGTAAAATGGATCATGCAGGAGGACATGAAAAGGAGTGAAAGACCCCACATACCAAGATCAGGCTTAGAGAGCACAACACATTTTGATTTCACCAAGAAAACCCCAAAACCTACACCAAGCTATAGCTACTGATTCCTGGTCAAACAGCTTGTCCTCACTGAAAAGTGCTTTTCATTTTGCAGATTCATAAAGAATTATGTAATATATATTTTAAACAGAGGTAAATCCACACAGAGTAACTAAGTCTACATCCACAATACCAACCCCTCCTCCAGGTGAGCAGTCAGACAGCTGGAAGAGATTAGATACCTTAAAATATGATAAAAGACTTGATAATTTTAAATCAACTATTTGAATTCATAACATTATTAATGTTCTTATAACAAGTTAGAGAATACTGAGATATTGTAAGATGGTATGATATGTTTTTTTTTGTACATTGCACCATGAGGATTCTGTTTAAAATGTGGATGTTCGTGTTACTGGGTGATGTGTTCATTCACTCACCATGACAGCTTCCTGGGCCCCTTTCTGAAGAACTCCAATTTTGTTAGACTGTAGCTTTGCAGCCGCCTCCAGTCTGGCATTCTCTATCTCCAGCCTAATGGGAAATGATACAGAAAACACACATCAGTAAACTGTACATCAAAGCGTGGCTATACTCACGATCAAAAATGCTTTAAAACATATTAGCTTATCTAATTATTTTGTGTTATGGAGTTAGTGTAATTAACATTATTGATATCATTTTATATAACTGATAATAAAACAAATGGATCAATCTTTGTCTCAAGTGTGTGTGTGTGTGTGTGTGTGTGTGTGTACAGACATCTTTCTGAGGACATTTTGGCCAATGCTCACTTTCTGACCCGCTTTTAATGAGCCCATTAAAAGTGTTGGAGGGTTAAGACTTGGTTTTAGGGTTAGGGTTGTTATGTTTTTCTTTCATTAAGGGGTCCCCAGTTACTTTAATTTTTCTGGATTTGGCTGCAACACTGTTTACCCCTGAAACTCCAAAAGTGTTTTGTGGACTCAAACACTTCAACCACCCCTCCTTCAGCATAGTGGTGAGTAGATAATGAGTGAATTTTATTTTTGGGTGAACTATCCCTTTAGGGGTAGGGTAAGGGGCTAGAGAATGCATTTATTCCAATGAGTGTCCTCACTAAGATATATGTACAAATGTGTGTGTGTGTGTTTAAATACCTCTGCACAGCTTCCTCCAGCTGTTTGATGGTGGTATCAGAGGCTGCTGAGGCCGACAGCGCCTCCTGGAGTTTCTGAGCAGCAGTGGTGAGCTCCTTTTCCCTTTCATCGAGGCCGCTCTTCAGACTGTTAATACGTCTCTCCGCCTGCACGTGGTGGTCTTCACTCTCCTCCAACTACAGACAAAAGACAAGAGAATGCAGCTCATCTAAAATACTGAGGGGTTTGCTTCATAATCCTTAACACAGCTGGTGTCAGAGATATAGTGAGAGTATGTTGCCACAAGGTGTCGCTGATCCCTTCCGTTACCTTTCCTTTAAGCCTGTCAATGTCTTTAAAGAGCCGAGTCTTCTCCTCCTCCAGGTCATTGCGATAGCGCGTGTTGACCTCCAGAGAGGCTTCGCTCATCGACAGCCTCTTGAGGGAGTCAGCGAGCTCCTGCTGCAGCTGCCTGAGGTTTGTCTGTGCACAGGCAGAATCCAGAGAAAGCAAAGATTAAATACATGTACAGGGGCATCCTTTAATGGCATGTAGTAGAATAACTCAAAGTGGGTCTTGAGGAAGAGGTTAGTTCATTTTCCTCCCCTGCAGTTTTTAACTTACCTCTCTTTCATTCTTCTCTTCCTCCAACTTGTAGATCTGATCTCGGAGATCAGCAGCCTTACTGGCCAGCTCCTTATTTCTCTCCTCCACTAGTTGTACCCTCTCCTCGCAGTCAGAGCGCAGCTTGGAAAGAATGTCGCTGAAGCGCTCTTGGGCATCTGTCACAGCGCGGTCCTTTGCGACGCCTTTGTTCTGGGCCTCCTCTAGCTGTTGCCGCATTAACATACCCTCACTTTGGGCTTGTGCGAGCCGCTCCTGTGTGACCTCTTGGCGAGCTTTGGAGCGGCTCACCAGCTCCCTTTCAGACTGCAGAGCTGCTTCTAGCTCCTTGACACGCGCAGTCGCCTGGTCCTTCTCCCGCTGTAGGACATCCAGCAGTAGGCCCTTCTCAGTCAGCTGCAGGGTGCCCCGATGGACTTCATTCTCCAAGCTGTTTGTACAAGCCTCTGACTTGGCCAGCTTCTGGGACAAGCAGCTGACCGTCTCACGCTGAGTGGTAGCTTCCCCTGTAGAGTATATTTATTAGGAGTAATATAAAAGCTACAACTTATTAAGATTTCTAGCAAAAAGATTCACACAAACAAATCTAGGGTCCAACAGACCCTCGGGCTACATCTATGCTAATACATGTTTGTTTTAAAATGGTTTTAAAATGAAAAACCAGTAGTTATAGCTTCATATAATCCATGTCCATACTAACACACCTTAAAACACACATCAAGGGACCTTTCGCATACGCTGGTTGTGTGTGTCTGTGTACACAGGACGCAGATTATCTACTCTGCAGACAGCTGTCTGCTTCCATCAAATACTATGAACGAAAAACAACAATGGTACAGCTAAGACCAGACATTATTACATTTTGTCTTCTCCACTGGAACTCGCATTGTGGCTGAAAAGAGCCAATCGGGAAAGCAAATGCAGGAAAATGCGTCATCATTTTCAAACATCTCTTCTTATGCCCGTGCAGACAACTGGAACGTTTTCAAAATAAAACAAGGCCTGAAGTAGTTCCAGACTTCTCCATTTTAGGTGCTTGGAAACTCTGGAGTAGTGTGAGGGGCAGGCCTAAAGCTAGCATCAGTTATGTGTTTGAATCTGTTTCTCAGTGGCAAGTCAAACTCTTTTCACATTATCTTATTTAACGCACTTTGGATTGCTGAGTGTTTAAGTAATTAAAATGTGCTTGGCTTACCCAGACATTCAAACTATCACTAACCTGTGAGTTTTTCTTTAAGACGCTGATGTTCCTCTTTCTCCCGGAGCAGAGCTTTCTCTGTGTCTGCGGTAGCTGCCAGGCAACGCTCAGCCTCCTTTACTGCCCCCGCCAGTCTGGTACGAGTAGACTCCACCTCTACCTCCAGAGTTTCCCGAGTCTGTCGTTCATTTTCCAGGCGGGTTGTGATCATAGCTAACTCAGACTTCAGGGTGGTCACCTGGTTGTTGCAGTTGAAGACAGTTTGGGTCAGGGCGTCCCTGTTGAGTTTGAGATCTCGTCGAAAATCTTCTAGCTGCTCCTTGAGAGCCTCATTCTCCTCCAAAATGTGGCTCTCTTTGAGAGTGCTGTTGGCCTGTGAACGCTCCAGGTCTGTTCTAAGGATGGTCAGCTGCTCCTGTAAGGTAGCGTTCTGCTGGAGCAGCTCCCTCTCCCTGTCACTGGCTTCAGTGAGCTGAGACAAGGCCTGTTATTGACAACAGCAGAAAAAGTTAATTCCGCCTCAAGTTGGCTGGTTCTCTTTAAAGTTTTTTCTGTAAAATATATTATTTATCCCGGAATTTTAAAGATACTAATATGAATCTTCTATTTGCAACACCATACTGTATGACTGTTATTTTACAACACGTTCCAAATTGATGAATAACACGATGAGTACCAGGATTACCTCGTTGCTTTTGCTTATATTTCTCTTGTTCTCCTCCTCTATCTCCTGCTGTTTATGCAGATGACTGTTGAGCAGGTTCTCCTGCAGCATCCTTGCACTGCGCTCCTGAGCCAGCAGTCTCTGGGTCTCACTGTGGTCCTCTTCAAGCTACATAGAACATAACCCAGTGATGGAAGAATCACATATACTGTATGTACAACAAAAACCACCTGCACAAGATAAAACACTCAAAAGCATCATTGTGAATTCCAAATAAATGATGTATAAGGAGCATTAATGTACAAAATACATACTGTATGTATGAACTGATCTTTGAAACTATCTTAAATCAACTTAATTTCTGACATTCACACTGACATTAAAATGACACAAACCAATATTATTGCAGTGAAAACAGAAAAATATGACAATGAACCTGTTTCATGTTGTTGACCAGTGTCCTCATCTCCAGCTCCAGGTTCCTGAGAGTCAGCTCTACCTTCTGTCTCTCCTGAACCTCTAACTGATGCTGCTCCTCTGTCCTCCTCAGCTTATCTCTGGTGGTGTTGTACATCATGGTGGCATTGCGGCGATTCTCCTGCTCCTGTTTCAGCTGAAACCTGTCGCACACAGAAATATGAAGATAGTAAATCAAAATATACATAAAATCCAAACACGCATAAAATAGGCATTAGAGTTACCACAAGTAGGTGTGATGTACAAAAATATGAGGAGAGACCAAGACAATGTTTCAAACTTTTGAGGAAAGGAGGTAATTCTCACTTGAGGTTTGTGACTTCAGTTTGCAGTTCCAGCTGATTTCGCTCCAAGGCAGATTTAACATCTTTAACTTCCTCGAGGGTGCTCTTCAACTCAGTTCTTTCCACTTCCAGCTGGCTAACCTTATCTGCCAGGTATCCATGGCGACTCCTTGCCTTTTGGATGGAGCGCTCATATTCGTGGAAAATGTTCTGCAGCTTCACCATGCTTCTCGAGTCTTTGAGATAAATTAAAGTTTTTTTAAATTCACTTTACATCTTTAAAAGGACAAAAACATTTGAATGACCTAATTCAGTACCTAAAGTAGCTGAGTCAAGCTTTTGAATGAGGACAGATGCATGACGATAGCCTGAAGTAGGAGAGTCGATGTCGTCTGTTGCTGTGTCTGACGACTGAGTGAGCTCATCAAAGTCTTCAGCCAGCTCTTCTTCTGCATTCTGAATATGAAAACAAAACATGGACTTAATGTTCAGTTCCTTTGTATTGTGTACCTAGATTCAAAAAATTCAGTTACTGGCTGAATGTGAGTTTTACCTCATTTTTTTGTTTTCTGCTGGTTAACCTGAGTCCATGAAACACAGGGAAGAGAAACAGGGGTTACTTCTGAAAACTCATGTGCATTTAAAGAGCTGGGTTAAGAAGCTGCTAGTAGGGTAATAAGTTATACATGCAGTATATGGTTCTTTTTTTAGAAAATCAGTGGTTAGTCATGCAGTTATGTAGGAAGAGAGTTAAATTCAATTAAGTTTGCAGCCTAATCATCACCCACCACCGATATTGTAAAGGTCTGTTCAGACTGAATGCAAAGCCAATTTATATTGGAGATATATACAGTATATATAAAATATAGGTAGTAGTGCAGGTCAGGTTTGGACCACTAGAGTTTATTTGGGACAAACAACCAATCAAGACATCATGTAGCTTACGAAAAACTTCAGAGGTTTCCTCCTGTGTCTCATTTTGTATCTTTTCTTCATTAATATATTAAATCAAATTGAAAGGTTTAAGATGAGCATTTCCATTGACTTTTGAAGCACTGGGTTTCACCTTGACTTCAGCCTGAACTCTCATTACAGGTTAGTGACAAAGAGGTGAAACTGATACACAGACGTGGCATACTGCATATATACCTTCCTTCATCGTCCGACACGTCACTTAAAGTGCTATCGTCAAACACAGAGAGAGGATCTCCGTTAACATGGGTGTTGGTCGGAGGGGCTCTGCTGTGCCGGGCCCCTCTGACCAGCTCCAGCTTTAAGGTCTCTTCTACAGTCTGTTCCTCCTGTTTGTTGCTACTGTGGCTCTGCTGGAGCGGGAGATGTGATTGCTCTGGTGCCTCGTTGGTGCTAAAAAGAGCAATAAACCTGATAATCAGTGAGTTGTGGCACTTATAGGTACTGCTGATAAAATCCTATGAAATGTGGTGTTGAATAAAAAAACACACTAACATCTAAGCATTGATTGATTCACCTTAAACACAAGTTTTTTTTGAAGAACTGACAGAATTGCTAATTGTTTAGTGGGTTATAAGGTGTCAATGTTGTTTTCATCAATGAAACTCTGCTTTACTCTGCTTTAAAATCGCTCCTCTTGCTTTGATCGCCAGCCACCGTCTGGAACGCAATTTTAAAAAGTTTTGCAGGCTAGGGGCACTGAAAAACAAACTACATTTGCCATAATGCATTTCATCTATCCGGGGGCTATCTCAGCAAATCACAATGAATTCCTCAGTCACGTGTCTTGAAAACAACATCATATAAAACTCATACATGCCCATCCAGAAGCATGCAAATGTTGCAAACGCTCTTTAAGGTTTATAACTTTATGTTGCATCAGGTCTAAATGGGTTACTTTAAAACTGGGCTCTTTCTCTGAATGTGCCATTGAAGAATAAGTTGCAACACGCCGCTTTTTATACAGAGATCCCATTATATTGGTATTAGAAGACCTCTTCTTGAGCTTCTTTACACCGAACCATACAACTATATATTGCCGCCCTAGTGAGTGATTGTAGATAGAATGTTGGCGTCCTGGAATCAGAGGCATGACGTCACAACAAAATCAGACTGTAAATAAATATTTGTCCCTATAACATGAGTAATAACCTAAAAGATCAGATCAGATTTTTTTATTTAAAAGAGGGTTGTGGAAGTGGTGTTTTGAAATTGTAAGGGGGATACATTTAACATCAGGGCTAACAAATGTACAATAGGAAGAAAATACTTACCTCTTGTTGGCTGCAGGCTGCTGTTCCAGCTGAATTGCTCCAGTTTGTCTCAACAGGGATCCTAACCTGCTCTCCGGTTTCTCAGTATCCGCCTCTTCCTGTGTCATTCCACCAGTATCCCTGGAAGCGTTGGATTTTTGTACCTCCGCTCCAGTCTTTGTCATCTCTTTACCAACCTGAAAAGACAAAGGCAAATATTTGATAACTTGACTTGTGACACTCATCCTTATTGAAAAGAGTCAGGGCCAGCCTTTTAAGAAGCAGATTGTGCGTGTACTTGCTCACTTTGTCATGCATAATTCAGTGTTACCCCTCCCATCTGAGACCTAACACCCAGTGTGCTTACTCTGACATTTTTAGTTAATCACTAAGATGTACAATTCCACACACTGCAATGCTCGTGTCAATCTGGAAAACTGAATGGTGTCATGGGAATGGTAAGACACAAAAACAAGATGACATGGAATTCAAAGGTTATTTATGAATTCCTCGTGACCTCAACACAACTTTATGATTAGTTGTTGATCTCTGTGTAAAAGGTCAAATCATGTAGCAAAGACTTGGTAAAAAATGAATAAATCAGTTTTCAGCAACACTCAAAAAGCTGGCAAAAATCACTCTTGATTTAAATACCTGAATGTATAATGTCTCACATCATGCATTAATAGAGAACAAATCTCAACAGCACTTCTTTCAAAGGCAAAGTAAGCATCACCTAGTTTGTACAACGTAAAGACACATGCAGAGACCATGCATAATGACAGATAAGTCACAACAAGAGAACTCACAAGACTTTCTGTTGTTTTGGAAAACAATCAAGAAAGCCACACTGCCAATACTTTTGTTTACTATAAGTCAGTACCCAAAAGCTTCTTGAGTGCAGCTCAAATGATCTGCAGCAACATTTTAGCCCAGTTCTACAAGTCTTAGTTAAGGACACACAAAAAATGTAAAGAGAAACATGCAAGCTTAGCACTTCTACTTGAAATCAAACCTGAAGAAAAGAAATATTAAGACATGACAAAAACAAGACAATGAACTTTTAACATGAAAGTCTTAAGGTGAGGTTATGATGCTTGGTCAGTTTGGCCCTTTGGAAACAGCTGACAAAAAGAAATGAAATTAAGTACATGAATGAAAAAAGAGAAAGAGAAAGAGAGGTGATCTAGAAGGGACTATGGGAGGGGCGGCCATCATCTACCTCTTTCAGGAGTTGGGCCTTTTCTTTTTCCAAATCCATGAAGACAACCTTCAGCATCCCTACCTCAAGTTTAAACCTCTCCAAGTCCTCTTCTAGCTCTTCGTCAGAGACACCAGGAATAGATGCTGAATGCCTGCTTATTAAGGGGGGGTAAGACTTGGTGGCCTCCTCACAATCCTCTTCTACATTGTTCACCTCAGCTTCCTGTAGATCGGCAGTTTGGTCCTTTGAGATCAAGTCCAAATGTTGCTTGTGGAACGGCCCATGTTTGGTCTCATCCTTTAAAAATGAGCTAGAGTCAACATTCGAGTCATAAATGTGACGTATAATGTGACCGTCGGTAAAAGCTGTGCTAGCGTGATCTCTGTAGCACTCTCTCTGTGCTGTGGTGAGATGTGGTGAAGGAGACCTGCTCTCCTCCAGAGCATCATCAGTGAGTAACTCTGGCTCCTGGTGCATGCTGCTGTCACTGACCGGAGGCTGAGCGAGCTGCATCCCATCTTCACACCGAGAGTTACCAGGTGACTCTGTCAGCGAGTCTTCCAGTCCAGACTCCCTCTGCTCAGGTATGGTGAGAAGGACAGTACTTCTTGCTCTAGCTGCCGGGCGCACAATGATTTCTCCTTCATCTTCATCACTCGACCCTTCTTCTGCAGAAGTAGATTCAGCTGTGGCCTGCTCCTCTTCTGCGGCCTCTTCTGCAGAACATCTTGATTGAAACAGCTCCCCAAACTTCTCTTTTAATTCACCAGCAACGTTCTTGAAGGTGGATTTTACTTCCCGTTTCTCCACCTCTACCCAGAGCTTCTCGTAGCGTTTCTCCCAAGGGCAGTCTTCACCTCCTCCTTCAGGACTGGGTTGATCTCGTAAGTCATTACAGTTTTCCCCTACACGGCCTGATAGCCATGCTTTATTTAAACCTAACTCACATGTATCTCCTGTATCATCTTTCTCCTTTGATGGCATGGGTTGACAGGGAAAAACACAACACAAACGAGACAAAAATGCAAGAAAACATGTTTTGGTTTTAAATGATATACACAACAACACTGACATGTGAAGCCATTATCACTTTCTACTTTTGATGTTAGCAAATAGCATGACATTATAATTTTGAAACATATTAAACATTCAACACCACAAAAGCTAATAATAAGACTTATCATTCAAAGGTGAAGTCAAAATCTATATTAACAAGCTGCAACTTCTTTGGTAATAAATTATTATCCCCACATATCTAATACTCACATAGAAGCATCAACATATTTGCAAATACATATGGTATGATAACGAATATGTATTTCTCCTATAATTGGGAAGGCATGGCAGATGCTGGTTCGTCTGGGCCTAAACTTGATGAGGAATGAACATATGTTAAGATTGTGATACACAGTATTTCTTTAGGCTTTCTCACCTTGTGCTGAGGCCCGTCCAGCTCTTTATCCCCTTGTCTGTCTCCTGCCATTGATGAAAACTCAGGAGAATCTAGGGAGACAGAGTGTCTTTATTAGAGGACATGTGTGCACAAAGGCCTATTTAAAAAGACCAGTGAGCCTTACCTGGTTTAACTACTGCCTGATGCTCAGCTGTGTATTGCCACTGATTGTCAATTTTGGCCGTGTTGGTAGAAGCAGAGGGTGCTACATTTTCTGGTTCCCAATCTGATTCTGAATGAGAGCATGTCAAAGAGAGAATCAGAAAATTAAGTCCTATGTCTGTAAACTGAAAAAAATCAGAACAAGAAAGGTCTTAATACACTTTACCTTCTTCACTTTCTGGTTTCTGAGGCACCAGCTTCCTTGCTCGAGGTTGAGGATGGGGTAAGAGTCGATGGGGTGTAAGGCTGATGCTCCTCTGAGGTGTCGGGGGCGCTGCTGCAGTAACATCTTCATCTTGCTCATTCAAAGCTGGATTAATGCATTCTGGGAACTCATCGAGTCCAGGGGAGGTCATTTTACGACCTGGCAGTGTTCTCTTGCTGGTTGTACTGGCTGAGTCCCAGTCTGATGCATCTGTGACATTGACACAAGAAGCTGCCGGTAAATGAACGAATATGACACTTTTGCACAGCAACTTCAAACCCTAAAGGGTGAGGAGACATTCAAACTTGTAAAAATGGCGGCTGAGGAAGCAGGATTGGAGGACAAAGTTAGCAGTATAGTTTCATGTCACACTCACAGGGAGCATGCACGAGAATGTGGAAAATCAATTTAAACAAGTTTTAAGTGAGCAAAGATATAGGGCAACAATTGCAGTCACATGTTCTGATATGAGTATGCACACCTCCATTATCCAATGCACTTGTACATGACAATGGGAACTAGTATCCTAAACTGGGATCTCGAAATAGAACTACAGTTAACATTAAATAAAATAAAGTTCAACTAATCTAATCAGCTATTTTATATTTACCAACCTGGTTTTACAGCTTCAAGACATGTGATGACACAAACATACAAACAATAGAAAAGTCAGGCTTGAATGTTGAATGCTAATGTATCACTTCCATCAAAAGCTTAAACAGTCAGCAGCTCCTCTGTATTCAAAAAGTGAAGCTTTCATTTTGTAGAAATATCTTGTTTTGAATACGTCATTTATATTTTATACTTATTTCCTTTAATGGTATTGAGGTTTAAAACAAATCCCTTTTTTTTAAAGTTTATGTTGTTTATGTCTACATCACTTAAAACAAAGACTTTTGGAAACACTGCTGGAAAGTTTGTTATTTTGAAAACTCTGGGGTTGTGTTTTGATGACACAACCATCCAGTTTTTTTAATTTTAAAGACACTGTAACAACATTAGTTCTCCCTGTGGTATACATCTGTCAAGCTCAGCAGGAGGTACAGGGCGACAAAGCCAGGCCCCATTCATTTCAAATAGCCACCATTGCTGTCCCTGCCATTACGCTGGATTCCCACATATGTTAACACTGGACAGTGGGCTTGTCCAATGCTTTGTGTCCACACGATTGTCATGACAACATGTATAGCTTCATGCTTGAAACCCACATTGCTGGTTTCAAATGTCTATTGATTGAATAAGAATACATTTCTTATTTTACCTTCAAGATCATCAACGTCACCCAGACCAAGCTCTTCCATCAAGTCTGTAAAAGAGAAATAAAGTGATTCTTCAAGTAACTTTACCATTTGGAATAATAGAAACCATGATTATATTTTTTTTACCTGTCTTTCTGTCATTATCGCCTTCAAGTTTGCTCAGAACACTAAGTGGTTCCCATTTTGGCTTCCCAGTCTGGTAGACAGGAAAAATATTGCAACTTTATTTTAACAGGTCACAATTTCCTTTTATACTATTTAGTTGCTGAACGTACTTCTTTTTGGGTGATGTCATCTTTAGTATCATGTTCTTTTTCATTAGCATCGTTTCCAGCTACAGAAGAGAAAAGACATGTTATGTTTGAGACGACACATTCAACACCATCATCTCCTTCAGGGAGAAACAAAAGATCGATGTGATGAAGTTGGTTGAGTTTGCCAGAATGTTGTGAAAACAAAGCATTCCCATGCAAATGTGCTCATGGGTTAATCAGCATGACAACATGGTTAGACAGCAGAGGAGCATTCAGATTCCCCTGTTCTGGTTTTATAGGGACACAAGTTCAGCATCAGCCAGGAATTCTGACAACACCTGTAGCCACTAAATATTATTTAAGCCAAAACATAAAGGAACCCAAAAAAGGTGAAGTCGAACCTGTGGCCCTCTAAGTCCCACATTTGGGAGAATCGGTTTCAGAGGTAGCAGGAGGAATGGAGTGGTGTATGCTGCATGCATTGTCTCATAATGATCATGAAGTGATAGTCAGGCCTCTGGTATGGTTAACATGCGGTTCTTCAGACCTTTGAGTCAAGACATTCATTTACCCTGGCTGCCTCTCGGCCTGTCTACACTCCTCCGAGGAACTAGAGCGACCATCTTACTTCCTCCTTCTCCTCTTAAAAATGAGGGAATATAAAACAAATCTACAAAAGAAATGTAACATATTGTTTGCAGGGGTGTTTTTATTATGCATTGCAAATGTGACATATTTGCTGTAAACAGAAAGCGTTAACCATTAACTACTGACAATATTAATACATGTATTAATGCAGATTTTTTAAATTAAATAAGGTCATTGTTTCTGTAGCATGAAATGGTGCCTGGAATGATTTGATTGCTTTAAAAAACAAAAATAAAGAAATAAAGTGCACCTACTCTCTTTATTTGCTTCATCAGCAGTGGACGTCACTTCTTGATGCTGAGTAGGCTCAGTAGGCCTGAGGAATGAGCTTTGTTTCTCCTCATGTGGCATATTAGTGTCTTCAGAATGGGACTTGAAGGAGAAAATCAGTCTTAATGACAACACATGTATAACAAACATTTAATCCTACATGGTGATTAGAAACATGTCCTAACTGTACCTCAGAGTCCCAAGAATCTTGCTCTTCTTCTCCCTTCTGTAGACCCAGCTCAGAAAGGAAGTCTATTCAACAAATGTAAATTAATTAAGCTGAAACTATTGAAAAGTAGTGTAAAATATTACATTTTATTCTGACAGGCAGAAATGATGCAGGATGAGAACTCTCTTTGAGTCTCTCAAGGTTCGATTTGACTTAATATCCTGGGTCTACAATGAAATCAACTAAAGTCAAAAATAATTATTTGATGTCACTTTTATGATTGATTTTCCTAATTTTGTGACCAATATGACCAAATTGTTATTAACTTGTATTTCTTGATAGATGTTATTAATCATATAGTTTTATTTGCCCACGAGCAAAAACATCCTCATCAGCATTTTTTAATTGCCATTCAATCAAACTAGTGCAGTGCTGATTGTAAACCTGCCTGTTTGGATTGAGCCGTTTGCTTTGTTTACTCACATTATTTTTTGGTCGATGATAGAATAAGTCAAAGGAATGAGGAGTGAGTCGTTTTCAGATTATGTTTGATTCCATTCATAACTGTACTGCTCAAGCACTAATAGCAGATATTGTTCTCATACGATTCAATTATGTAATTTTGCAAAATGAACACAGCATATTATGGATCTGAAATCAGTGTTGTTATTATATTAGTAGCCAAAATAGTTGAGAGGGTGGGCAGGATTGTGCTGGATTTGTAAATCAAGTAAAATATTATAAATCGTGTACATCTATGTCATGGTATTGTAAATTTTGATGGACCAACATTTCTGTGATGATAAATGATTTGCCACTGACCTCTTTTCTTATCCTTTTCTGTCTCTGGAACAGTTGAAGCGGCACCAAGAGACTCTTCACTTTCAGCAGGCTGATCATTTTCATCTGACATGTCTCCTTCGTCCTCATCCTCCTCATCCTCTCCCACCTGCTCTTTGTCGTCATTATCATCGTCCTCATTGTCATCGTCCTCATTATCGGTGGAATCTTCTTTCTGTGTTAAAAATATTGATGGTTTAAAAACCAAAAAGCATCTCTGATGAACAGAGAAGTGCTGAGCAAACTAAGAATAACCATCTGAAAGAAAATGGCGTTGACACATCTAGAATGATTTTGCAGTCCTCTTTTAGCAACCACATTACACTAGAGAAACTGCTACTAGTACTAACATCTACCTGTTGCACAGTGTTCCTGTTTTACCTGAGAGACACAGTCCTCAATGTTTTTGAAGTGTCCCATGCCTATTCTCTCTCCTTCATCAGGCGAGTCTAAATCAACATCGTCAATGTCAGTCTGAGGTAACACTTGATCAAAAAATGTCTTCCCATCATGCCCTTGATCATGAGTGACCTCATAATGTTGCTCTCCATCAATGTTGTGTGATGAGACTCTTGTCTCTGGAACAATGGCACTTTTATCCTGTAACTGAACATATGCAGTTAATCTGGCCGCGTGTTCATCATCTGACTTCTCGCCTCCATCAAGCACGTTATCAGAATCATCTCCCACGTCAGACACTTTGACTGTGGCGCTGGCAAAATCATACTGCAACCGCTGGTCCAAGCTGTCAGAGTCCTCACTTGACTCCTCATCCCTGGGGGGATCACTTTTTATAACAGTTACCAGCTTTTCTTCCTGTGGCCTGTTATTCTCTGTAGACTGATCCTTTCCCACAACAACTTCATTGTTTTTATGTCCATTACCTACTTCAGTCTCTTCCTCTAACTTCTTGTCCATTGTACTTGAAGGCCTTGATTTAGGTGACCTCACACCGGCAGGGGTAGAAAGATTCATCTTCAATAAGTCGCCACTGTCTGCAACTTCATCCTCTGTCTTCTGCTTTTCTGACTCATCACTTTCATCTTCATCATCCCAACTACTGTCGTCGCTTTTCTTTTTTTCCAAGTCTAATTTTCTCTTGTTTTGTAGAATTGAATCAACATTGTCATTATCAGGTACTGGTGATTCTGCAGGGGGAGCATCATTTGTCTCTTTCTTATGACTTCCTGTATTTCCTTGCCAAGAGCCATCAGAATTGTGCTGCTCTCCAGTCTTGTTCGGTGTTACATTTGTTTTAGAAACTTTACCACAAACCACTTTACCTTTAGTGCAGGATCCATAATCATTTTCATCATTTTCAGAAGAAGAATTCCACTCTGATAAATCTGGTGATGCTTTACCTGGCCTGCTTTTAGACGGATGGACTCCTGTAGAGGATTTCGGTTTCTCTACCATTTGCTTTGGCGAGACACATTTTGAAGATGGCACCATTGGTGATGAAGAATCCCATGAGGTATCCACATGGTCTTCATTGGATTTAGTTAATTTACTTTTCTCATTCAGTCCTTCTTGTTGTAAAGCTAATCCTCGAAAATCACTTTTCTGATCAAGCATCTCGTTCTTAACCTCATCTTCTTGTGAGAGATCAGCATCGCTGTCCTCTAATGAAGACCCCCAGGACGACCTGCGTTTGTCCTCTTTGAGCACTTCACTTAATCCAGTACCATCTTCAGCATCAGAAGCACTGTGTGTATTTTCTGCACAAACCTCAGATAATATGTTTTTTTGATTAGCAAGTACAGTGTTGCAACCAAATCCCACTGTTTGATTATCTTCGTCATTGTCACTGTTCTTCCACACTGTCTCACCACTGTTTTGTTTGTTGCTCCAGGAGTCGTCATCATCAACATCATCCTTTTCCAGTTCTCTCTCAAACTCTTCCTCCTTAATCTTGCAATGTGAAAGCGTCTCTGTGCCAGGCCTGGATGACATAGGACCCCCTGTTGAACCCAGGTGTAAAGTTTTGTTTTGTCCTGATGACCAAATGCATTCCTTCCCAAGGCTGTCATCCTCATCAGAGAACTTAGATTCGACCCTAATGGCTGATACGACACAGTCGTCCTCTACATTTAATGTCTTTAGCATTGCAAAACTTGGAGATCCAACTGGGCAGACAAGGCCGGTATTCTGAATATCTGTTTTGGCATCTTTCTCTGAGGCATCTACATTATCAGGAGTAGTTCCATCGCTGTAAGAAATGTCAGTAGCAGGTATCTTCTGACTATCAGCACTGTCAGTAATGTTAAGGGCAGCAGCAATGGAGGGTTTCAGAATGTCTTCATATTCAGAAGTGTTGGCCTGGACAGCAGCCACACAGTTTTCGTCATCCTCCTCCTCATTTTCATTCTCTTCTTCATCCTCTTCCCCATCTTCCTCATCACTTTCCTCATCATCTTCTTCTTCTTCTTCCTCGTCATCCTCTTCCTCCTCCTCTTCTTCATCATCATCATCATCATCGTCGTCATCATCTTCTTCCTCCTCCTCCTCTTCTTCTTCTCCAACTTCCTCCTCAGAGTCCTCTGCTTCAGGGCTGCCCTCACGAGAGTCTGATGTTGCTTTACTGCTTGACGGTTGCTCTGAGTCTTTGCTTTTCCCCTGCTCAGCTACCTTGTCTGCTTATTTTGGGCATTCAAGACAAAAGGAGAGAAAGATGTCACAGAAATGCAACAAGCAAAGCTTTAACAGAAATATTTTACCTCTCTGTAGCTAGGATGAGGGATGGAAGTCATCTGGGGTGCTTTTGTAAGGAAGGAAATGGGAGTGGGATCTACAGGTTTCTGCAGAGAGTTGCTGGATGGTACATTTTTTTGGAGGGGTGGGATTCTCTGGACTCTACTCTCGCTCTCTGGATCAGATTCTGTACCGCTCAAGGATCTGTCAAGCAGTGCAGAAGCTACAGGGTAGGCAGGGACAGAAGATTACTATTAAAACTACTCTGCTGACACAAACAAAAGAAGTTAATGTTGGAGGATTCTCAGTACCTTCTCCCTTTTTAGATGCAATCATTCTGCTTAGGTTTACTTTCTGTGGTTTCTGAAAGACAGCACAAATGATGGTCAAAACTAAATTTGAAGACAAAATAAATACTAGGAAAGGGTGGGTAGCACGAACCTTCTTGTTTAAAACCAATTCATCATCATCTTCAGATGAAGGCCATTCATCAGAGGCACTTTTTGAAACCCTTAGGAGGGAGCAAGAATGGTTTGAGCTGGGAAATCAAATTTAATTACAAGTTGCAGATCGGAAGAATAAGACTGTGCTCACCGACTTAGGGACTCAGACTGAGAATTGTCTTCAAAACCTGCAACAAAAAAGAGGAATCGAAATCAATTTAAAAAATGGCGTATATTAGTATTAAAACTTTTAAACTGTGACATCTTGAGAGCATCTACATTTTAAAAAGCAGAAAAAGTATGAGACACAAAGCACATATTTTGATCTGAAACTTGTTTTTACATTAAATTATCAGTACCAGTGATAATATTTGCTGTAGGTTAAGAATTATATTGTGGCTGACAACAGTGACTGATGGGGATAAAAATAAAGAAAAAAATCCAAACGCAATGGGTTAATTTCCCCTGACTATACTGGTGGGTTGCAACTCAGAAAGGTCGAGAACCACTGTCCTAAGCTCATCTAAGCCAAGTAATACCTCCCCCTGCTTCATTTGCTCCATTCCCTAGATCCAGTCAAGAGGTAATGCATGAGGAATGAATGAAATAGTCAGAGTCAATAATGAAGAGACACAATAATATCCTCACACCACTGGCATTTACTTTTCCATCACAACAACTTGCATTCCTACCATCTTTGTCAGTGGCTGGTCCTCCCAGAGAGAAGCCTGCTTCCAGATCTTGGAAAGGACTGCCCGATGCCTTTTTCTTCTTCTTTTTGCCCAGACCTTGATGTGACAGGGAGGGGCCATCGCTCCTCTGGGTGCCATGCTCAATGATCAGGTGAGAACAACTGCAAGATAGGCAAGACACTGACAACTTCATATGTGTCACATGCCTCCATGTGCTGCTTTGGGGTGTGAAAATGTGATTATACATTATATACAGTAATCTGAGAGAAAAAAGTGATTAATAAACCTGTAAAAAATGATTCCTAATGAATAAAATAAAGCTCAAAAGAAGAAAAGAGCAACTGGTGGGATTTGGTTGTTTGTTTTGTGTCAGTTTAATTTTCCACTCACACACCACTAAAGCATAAATTACAAAAGAAATGCCACTCCAGGAAAGTAAACGCAAAGAAAAGAACAGCTTACGGATGATGCCCATTCATTCCTGCGTAGTCGTCAGCTGACCATCCTTTGGTATCCTTGAGTGTTGTATCTGCGTTGAACCGCAAGAGTAGCCGCAACATACCGATTTGTCCATTGCCAGCAGCTATCATTAATGGGGACCTGCAGATTAAAATCAATGACAGCAATATATACAACTATGAATTAGAGACCATCTTTTGTTGACACTCTGACCCATGAGTATTCAATAGTCATGGCAACATTGTTACATGAGAGATGCTGGGTCAGACCAGAGCTTTCTTCAAACTCTGCTTTGATTTTGATTTCAATTCAGACAAACAACTGAAAACATCTGAGACAGTTCTCACAAACACACAGGTAGTATACTGTTTCCTCTCCACTTCAACGGCCAACAAATGAGACAGTCTCCACTTCACTCATATCCACCAACATAAAATTAGCACTTAGCCCAAATGGACCAGGGGACACAGCTTTTGTCCCCAACTATCTGGTGTTTAGTCTGAAATTTGTCCCCAAAGGTAGCCGAAGACAGTCAGACAGACACACGCCGAAAACAATACCAGCCTTGCCGTCACTGCTGGCAAAAATGTATTCAGCAACATTAAAATTATTAGATGTTTATAACTGTTACCTTTGGTCTTGGTCCAGTAAATTCACATCAGCACTCTCATTGAGGAGAAACTCAGCCATCTCAATATGGTCCTCACGGACTGCCACAGTCAGGGGGGTAAATCCCTCCTAAAAAACAGATTACAGAAAAACAACCTCATGAAATGGAGATGTGTCATCAGAACAGCAATACCTCATCCTGTGTGGAATGAATGAATGAATCCATACCTACATGACCAAAACAATATGATTGTTTTTCTGAATATCCTTCATTTACAAGACTTTTACAATAGCCTGCTGACATCTACTCACAATTCAAATACAGTTTATCTGATACCATGACATTAACTGTGTCTGTCCTAACATATGGCTTATGGCTGACAAATAGTACTGTGGTGGATAGAAAGACAGAATCACCTTGTTTGGGGCATTGATGTTAGCCTCATGCTGCAGCAGCAGGATGGCGATGGAGATGGATGGGATGTTTGCAGCTAAATGTAGGGCTGTATTGCCATTGATGTCCACCAGGTTAGGCTCGGCATGATTCTCCAGCAGCATGCTCACACATCGCTCATGCTGGCCCTGCACTGCCTGATACGGTCGAGAATCAACACAAATGCACAGTAAGGCAAATACTGCTTAATACAATGTAGAAAGATATTTTTCATTAAATTAAGAGTCAGTCTTCAAGTGTCATCATCCAGGATTACCTTCATTAAGGCAGATCTATTTTGATTGTCACATAGGTTAAGCTTGGCTTTGCTCTCGAGAAGGAATTGTACGACCTCCACATGTCCACTGGCACAGGCAATATGTAGTGCAGTTCTGTAATATCAAAGCAGAGTTTATTATATTCATAAGAGGTATTCATGTTCTAACTAAAGCTCTATACTGACAAGGATGATCTTTCCTTTTTAAAGTTCTATTTCTTCACTGCAGAGTTTGACGTACTACAGAATATATCAAAATGCTTTATTTTTGATCATGTTGATCATTGTGGCATTATATTAAAGTCATATGACAGACACTTCTGCCTGAAGAGACATATAACAAGTCCATTATTTGAGCCATAATCCAGAGATCGCTTGAGTGATAGTTACTGGTATACTATAGTAATATGCAGCTACAACAAGCACTTTATAGAACATTTATGGTTTAATTTGCATATTAGTTGATTATGTATAGTTTTATAGGTATTGAACACCTCACAGATTCTGACAAGTTGAGCAACTATCATCTTTTCCTTATGAAAAGCTTTTCAATAAATTGCATCATGCTCTTCAGAACACTTGATTGACAGTGAAGTAACTTAAGCCTACCCTGAAACGTTAGTAGAAAAGAAACACATGGGTGTCATTTACATTTTACTCTCAAAAACACCTGGCTGTTTGCTTTTAACGGTTACATTTTTTTACAGTACAACACAGCCATACTTTGTGAAACACTCCACACTGCACGATAAATTTAACAATTACACAAGGGTCTCAGACTACTTTTAAACTTTATCATTAGTAATATTTCAAAAGTGCTGAAAAATAAAGCGACACGTTAGTATTGCTGTGTTCATGTGTGGGGGAAATTTGACAGACAGCTTCCTGTATAAATCCATTTGAATGAACTATTCATCGGAGACCAACTTTGAAGGATGTGAAAACAAATGCTTTAATCCCACTCACCTGTTCTCCTTGTCAAGTTGATTGATATCATTCTTTTTCGCAAGCTGCTTCAACTTTGCCACATCCCCCGTCCAGGCAGCCTTGTGAACCTTCCCGAGGTCCTTCTCTTTCAGTTCATAGCCAAGAGAAAGCACACTACCGCTGTCAGGGGTACCAGACGGGTGTTTCTTTTTCTTGGTGAAGCTGAATATCTTCTTCATTGTGCACAGCAGCACCACACTGCTTTGGCACCTCCACTACCTGCCACTCATCTGGTGCTGGAGGATCACCGCGGGTGGCTGTCCCATCCCTAAAAATAAGACGTGCAAAGCGGATTAGAAGCCTATAAAGCTGTGCAGGGAGCACTCCGGTTTGCTATATGTAAGATATAAATGAGTACCAGAAATACAGCTCTTTGCAAGGTCATTTCAACCCATACACACCATAGATCAGCTGCAGGTAAAGGGGAGAGAGGTGCAAAGGTTTGAGTATCTAATTACTGACGGGAAACACAGCTGTCATGCTAACAGGAGCGTTTCTGTACATGCTAAGCTACACGTAGCCTCGTTTACTGGATGATGATACCTCACAAGACGTCTGTCGCTCCTGGGTTTGAGAAAACATGTCAGCGACTCATCGCTTCAGCGATTAACACGCACAGAACCGGACATGTCCACATCAGCTACCGACAACACTCCGCGCTGTCTAAATACACGTAGCGTTATATCGTGTGGGCGTTGTAACCATGGTAACATGAGTGCACAAATGGCAGGCTAACGTAGCAGCCTGAGGTTTATCCTCCCTGCTGGTGTTAAGAACACACACACACACACACATCTCATATGACTGTGTCGAGGGGGAAAGACCCTGAGCTTTGGTCAACCATTCTTCTATTTGCGATTATTGTTTGTTGCCTAGCAACATCACCTACCTTCAGCTGACTCCGTGCTGCGCCTCCCACGTCGTCACTTCACAAGCGATGCAAACCGCCACATTTAAACAGGACTCCCAGCCGAGCCGAGCGCAACAGCGAACACCGCGGCTAATGTGCGAGAGCCGCTTCAGCTCAAAGACATCTGACCCTCCAGCGAGAGGGCAGCGGTCCCCGGCTAACGCTAACCTTGGTGGAACGAAAGTAACCCCGCTAACTTACTGCTAATTAGCACAGGCTTTAAATCAAAGCTGAGCTGGTTAGTACGTTGCTCAGCACGATGAGTTTGAAACGAATAGGAATAGTGTGGAGGTATGCTACCCCAAGTCAAGCTAGCTTCTGCGATATAATAAACAACAGTATATAAACTCTAACACCAACCTGTTGATTGTCTGAATCAGAGTAGTTTCACAGAGCTAAAGCTAACGAGCATTTGCTCAGAAGAAAACTTGCTAGCTGCCGGGATTTCAGGGAGCCAATCATAAACGAGTTCCCGCTCCCGACTGCTTGGATTGACCAATAGGAGGCTCCAGTGACCTGAAGGTTGGTTGACAGGACACAGGTGGTCGCTGTTGTCTGCTCGAGATGGAGAAGAGTCACATCTTCACCACTTGATGGAGACATTTGTCCTGGAATAAACACACCCGGCACCAATTCACAGTCTTTGGCATAAAGAAGAGGAACTTCATTATGATCAGTGTATTTTAAATTCATGTGCGTTTTCAAAGCAGACGAGGCCCACAGTCCTTGTGTTTGTGACACAGATCAGACATTTGACTAAAGCTTGTTGTAAAATAAGCTGTAATGGAGTTTTAGTTTAATATTAAAACATATATATAGATAAATAAAACCAACTGGCAGTATTGAGGCATCAACAGTGTCTCTATACTGCTGACAAATATTTACCCCCAATGATCAAAGTTTGCCAGCAAAATCTAAGATTTGCATACTGTCTTCATACATATATAAAACAATACCATTTTAAAATTGGTTAAAATTTATGCTTCAAGTGTTTTCTGTGTTCAGATATTTCAGGCAAACATTTGCAGAAGCACCATGTATACTTAAAAATCGTCCTCTGTGTAGAGCAATTTTCCAAGTTATTATTGCTTGTTAATTCCTTTTAGTGGACATTAATTCAATTCATAAGTGACCAAAGGTAATTCTTTGAGTGCTTTTAATAATCACAAACTTCCAAAGATGCTTGGGCAATGGATCCTCAAGTGTTTTCTGAAACAATGAGATTACAGGGGTAGCACTGTTTCCTGGAAACACAATATCCCCACCCATTTCAAGGCTAATGAAAAATAATCATCTAGGAGCTTTTCTTTATTTCCAAACTAAGAATGTGTTATTGAGTCCATGTACTCTGGACACCAAAATCTACCAACTGAAAATTGCACTGCATGAAAAGATAATAGATCGTCTTGGTCCTGTAGAGAATACAATTACAGCCCTCACAGGATGAATGCACTGTAACATATTAATGTGACTGCTGTGCATGTCCACTTGCAACAGTTGTTTCACTAAAGGTTGATGATTCCAGCAAAGTGTCTCACCATCGCAGGGTTTAAACTAAAAGCCGTCCCTATAACTGTCCTTATTCAGTTGCCGTACAATATAAGATCTAAATGAGATTCATAGTGGTACTAAAAATTGTGCTAGACACCATTAAACTGGCATAACGTTTTTTTTAACCTCCACTGAAGCACAGCTGCTCAAAATGGTATTGCACTGCAGCAAACTAAGGTTGTGACATCATTGACAGAAATGTAACTTTATCAAATCATCATGTGTCCATGTTGTAAATCTATAGAGGAAGAGAGGGAACTGATGCTGTAGATAAAATAAATCAGATAAATAGATAATATAATTAAATACAAAAATATTAAGATGTAAAATCAAATGCAACAGATACAAAATCCTAATATTTTTCATCAAAACACTGCCTAACTTTTTTATTAAATAACACAGGATTTTGTTCTTGTACATCAAAGGACAATGCCAACTGTTGAGGGCCCACTGTAATAAACCAGCCAGATATGAGAGGTGATATCTGGAATCAACACTCAATAACAACAATTGAATATGACTCTGACTCATTGATTCCTGGATCAAAAATATCCTTGCTTCTGGAAGCAGGGATATTTTTCAATTTAAAAAGCCATACACCAGTGACCAGTGATCCATAAACCAATCTTAATGACAGCACCATCGCAGTCGAGATGCCTGACACATCATGCATGCAAACAAATTACATGATAAGAATAGCAAAATGTATCAATCGTTTTTTGCAGCGGCTTTGCCTGATAACCACTTGAATCATTTTCTCAAGTGATTTCATTCTGCTCTGTTCAAAGTCAAAATGAGAAATGAGTGAAAACCATAAAGTGCTTGTTTAACATATCATCAAGTTACAGCTTGTTATTTTCTTTTTTATAGCTACATATACAAATGCTTTGTGGGTTTAGGATGTCTCAAATTAGATTTGAAAAACAAGATGGATCCACACAAAAATATTATGGTTTCTTCCTTGATGCATACAATATCCTTCCTCCATGTTTCTTGGCAATTAGTAGAGTCGTTTTTTGTAATCTTGCTAACTAGTAGACAAACAACTAAAAGCAGAAGACAAGATAACCAGGCAGTCAAGACACAAACACAACCTTTTTGGTGAAGTTGTCTGTCTTATTTGTAGTCAATGTTTATTTATAGTATGGATTTAGGGTGGATATAGTCACAAAAGACATATTTTGTCAAAATGTGTGTTAAATTGGAGGATAATAATGAAAGATTATTAAACAACTGGTTTTTGAGTAAATTTACAGTTTCCGTTACATTGCATGATGCATAGAAATATAGCAACATTTTTATTGATTTCTCTGAGAATATTTCATGAATCTTGTTTATAAAAGGAGACATTAAATAAACCGATATTCATGAGTGTGTGCAATTTTGTGCAGATCCAAATAAAAATGTGGATCTAGTCAAATTAAATGTGGTTTCATAAGTTTGACCTGAGGATCCCGCGAGTTTATTTGGGCTTCGTGAGATATGATGTCTTCAGTCAATTACTCAGTGATAAACAAATATTTTTTGAGAGACTGTCACACAGTTGTGTTCCAAATGCAATTGTCTGTGTCTTTGGAGGTCAGGATTATAATAAGCAATTATCCTGGTTTGAACCCTTCACTGGACTGCAAAATGAGTTAAAGTTCAATGTACTACTCGGTTTGACAATAGAAGCTGCCTATGTTTTGCTGTAAAAAATGTTTGGACACGAGAGGGTAGCTCCTTCTAAGGTACAGAAAAATACTATTCTGACAATTTGGATGATGACACTCTGATGAAAACATCAGATCTGCCAATAGATTGTTTACACACTGAACCATAAAGTGATTTTCTTTTCTCTGCAGATGCTCTTGCTAAACCTTCCACTCATCCAGCTCCCTATACTTTACCCTAACTATGTTCTCAAATTGAGGTTGGCTTGTTTCAGAGCCATCCAGCTATCACCTTCAAGAAAGCTGTGTGATTTGAAGATATCTCAAAGGGTTTATGAGGAGCTTAAATAAATCAAATTACATAATTGTCCCCTATTTAAAGATCGGATGAATTATACTTTAATTATACTGAAAACCTCACAAAAGCTTCTTGTAATGTCTGCAAAAACCCAGGGCGATGACAGAGATATTATACAAGAATTAGCCTGCCACTGCGAGATAATATGTTAATCCACAATATGAGTTTGTGTAGAGGATTCCTCTCTACCTCCATAATCTCCTATTCATTTAATGACTTCATCATCATAGTTTTATGAGTCCGCCATCCTCTCTGCCGTCTACCTTTTGTAGATGACCCACTTTATTTGCTGACATTCCCATCTAATCCTAATGCATAACTATCATTAAGAATATCTTCATGATCTTAACAGCTTTATCAGCACAGTTGTTTTAATAATAAGGCCAAAGCAATATTTAATAACTAATTCTTAATAAGTTAGCTAAAATATGCACATGCTTATCTCCTTGTTGATCCACATAAGGACCCCTGTTTGAATCCTAGATTGAGCCTTTTAAACCGGGTCTACCTGAGCTTTCTCCGGTTACTCCAGCTTCCTCACATGCAGACATAGATCACTCTCTATGCTGGCCCTGGCCCTGTCCAGTCACACAACAGAGGATCAGCATAAGCAGTAAAGATGGTGGATGGATGGCTTTACACAAAAGTATCTGAAATATGTCAATCCTGACCTGATGATAGCACTGAGATAAGAAGTCAAAGAATGAGCAAAGTCATTTTGTGGGGGACATGATTGTAGCTATAGTCTCATTGCAAATCATCCAGAAGTGGAGCATGGGTCAAAGGTAAATATCACTTCACTCCTCTCCGGTCTGATTTAACCACACATTTTAATATGTGAACAAACTTGACACACGATATAGACATTCTGTTCAGTGTTCTCAAGTCTGCATTAAAACAGGACAGGAATTTGCTATGCCAATGTCAATTAGATTTTCACATACAAGTGGCTAAATGTAAAATAAAACAACCTAATGCGATCCCATCTATCTGACAGTGTTTACACAGAGACTGCTTGAACATGAATTTAATATACTTCCATCTTGTCCACATCATGATGTGAACACACGTTTTTCCTGTCAAAACACTGGTGCACTGATGGAACCTTGCGCTGCCTCACAAGACTCAGTTATTTTCTCACAGGGAGCTAATCAGCACCACATTGAATTGACTGACAGTCAACAAATGGCCCCTCTGCCAGAACTGTGATAGGTGGTAGTGTTAATGGTAGCTCTGAGCCTTGAGGGGGGGAGAAAAACAACACTGACATATGAATTCAGAATCACTAACCCAGCCTGCATTTGTGGCAGATTGTCCATTACTACAGCTCAAAAAATAATTTCTTGAATGGAGCATATCTTTCACACGGAATGTTAATCTTTACAACATTATCATCCTGGTTATTCTCCTGCATATGGACACTGACTCTCATCTTCCCTTACAACTAGAGTTTGTTTTCATTTGTCGTATGATTTTTACGTTTCTTGCAATTTAACCGTCTGTGACTTCACTACATGCCTGCATTTCCTTGGTGGCACATGAATGTGACAAATTTGTGGAATGAACAGGGGCATAATTGTGGAGCCGTGGAATTTCTTCTTTGTCTGAGGCGAATGGATTTTAAGCAGGAGGATGTCAATAATGTCCATTTTCAGCTTTGTGCTAGAAAGGCATTTTGTGGTATGGTTAATTGAAACAACTCAGGTGGCTTCGGAGTAAAGGCCACTTTGTTTTTGGCTCAGGACGGAGTAAGCATTAAGGAAGTGGATGTAGAAATATCCCCTTCCACAAATTGTTTCTTATTGCTCTACCCCTGACCCAAAGAATGCATGGAAGGATATACTATGAATACATGGATGTATATGACATATGTTGAAAATTCAGGTCAAGACTCA